TATTGAAAATATTTGAAACCTTGTCGGCTTATATAATTGCAGCCTGATCGGCTTATATGATTGCTTATTGTACGATGAACAATTGCACAGGCGCACGTAGTAACTATATTTGAGACTATAATTGTAAGATGATTGAGATATTGTGTAATTATTTTTTAGGTTAATCATTGGACATTAGATATTCACTCCTATACTATGCCTCTTAAACATAAGTCTGGTGCTCAAAAGAAGAAAATGAAACGAAATGAAATTGCATTAATTCAAAGTCAAGCAGGGGATATTAACAAGTACTTCAAAAACAACAATGTGAATGTGTTAAATGGGGATGAAGTAGAGATTCAACATGCCCATGTTAATGAAGTAAATGATAAGGATAAAGAAGTGAGTCAACCTACCGATGTTAACGAAGTAGATGATAAGGAAGAAGAAGTGATGAAGGCCACCTCTAATAATGAAGAAGATGATAAGGAAGAAGAGGGTTGCTTTTCTCAAAATTTGGATGATCCCGAGAATTGAAAAATTATTGATCAAAGAACAAGGGATTACTTAGTTGAAAGGGATCCAAAAAGAGTTGATGACATCTCGTTTCCGAAAGACTATAAAAATAGACATTTCGATTCTTCACAATATAAGCGATTGCTACCAAATGGAAAAACAGTTGATAGACGATGGCTAGTATATTCAGTGTCTATGGACAGGATCTTCTGCTTTTGTTGCAAGTTGTTTAAAACACTATAAACGTGACCAAAGTTGGCCAACTAGGTAATGATGGATTCAAAGATTGGCTTAATTTGCATCGATCTATTAAAAGTCATGAAAGAAATGAGGAGCATTTACGTTGCATGACTAGCTGGATTGAATTGGAAAATAGATTTCGATCAAAAACTACAATTGATAAAAGCGTTAAATTGTTGATTAATGTTAAAAGAGAACATTGGAGATATGTATTAATAAGGATAATCGCTGTTGTGAAAAGACTTGCGAAAAACACATTGTCATTTCGAGGAGATGATGAGAGGCTACATGTTGAGAACAATAGCCTATTTTTACAAATGGTGGAAATGGTTAGTGAATTTGATCCAGTAATGCAAGAGCACTTTCGGCGGGCTAAAGCAAAAGAGATCAATATACGTATCTTGGCAAAAAAATTCAAAATGAGTTGATACAGTCGTTGGCTAATCAGGTGAGAAGTTTAATTGTCAAGAAAATTAAACATGCAAAATATTTCGCAGTTATACTTGATTGTACTCCAGATGCAAGTCAAGAGGAGCAAATGTCTTTAATTGTACGATTTGTAGATGATTCGGCAAACTTACCTACAGTTGAAGAACATTGGTTAGAATTTTTGAAGGTAGATGACACAACAGGACTTGGACTTGCTGCCGAGCTTCAAAAGGCTTTGATAAAAATTGATCTCGATATTGATGATATTAGAGGGCAAGGATATGACAACGGATCTAACATGAGCGGAAAGCACAAAGGTGTGCAAAGAAGAGTCCATGAAATGAATCCCCAAGCTTTCTATACTCTATGTGGCACTCATAGTCTAAATTTAGCATTATGTAATATGGTGAACTGTTGTTCCAAAGTTGTATCCTTCTTCGGAGTGATACAACACATCTACACATTGTTTTCCTCTTCTACCAAGCGATGAAAAATTCTCAAAGATAATGTACAAGGGTTGACAGTGAAGCCATTGTCACAAACACTTTGGGAAAGTCATATTGAAAGTGTGAAGCCTATAATGGAGCAAACTGCACAGATAAGAGATGCATTACTTGATTTGGCAGAAAGTAATGAAGATCCTAAAGTGAAGAGTGAAGCCGGGTCGTTAGCAATACATGAACTTCAAAATTTTGAGTTTTTGCTTGGCATGATAATCTGGTACAGATTGTTGCATACTGTCAATATTGTGAGTAAATTTCTTCAAACCAAATCCATGGATATTGATCATGCTATCGACTTCTTGTAAGGACTTGTTTCATTTCTTGAAGAATACAGAGAAATTGGATTTGCTATTGCCAAATATGAAGCGACAAAAAAGGCAAGCGAAATGGGAATTGAACCTGTATTTACAGAAAAATGCATAATTCGAAGAAAAACAATTTGATGAAAGCGGTAGTGATGAGGTAAAGCAATTAGCAGAAGAATCTTTTAGAGTTGAGTACTTTATTTTTATAATTGATCAAGGTCTGTCTTCTCTGAGGTCTCGGTTTGAACAATTCAAACAATATGATGACATATTTGGATTTTTGTTTAATTTGAAGAGGTTAAGGGATGAAAATTTTTCAAGTTTGCTGAACTCTTGTTTAAATCTTGAGAAATATCTTCAACATGATGGGCGTTCGGATATCAGTGGAGATGATTTATGTTCGGAGTTACAAGTATTGAGGTGTTATATACCACGTGAAGCAACAAGAGCAATTGAAGTGCTACAATATTTGAAGACATTTGATGTTTGTTTTCAAAATGCTTATACTGCTTACCAAATTTTGTTAACCATATCGGTTACAGTTGCATCTGTGGAAAAAAGTTTCTCGAAATTAAAGTTGATCAAGACCTATCTCCGATCAACTATGTTGTAAGAAAGATTAAACAGGTTGGCTATGTTATCAATAGAAAAAGAAATGGTTGAGTAACTAAGTTATTTAGATCTAATTGATGTTTTTGCCTCTAAAACAGTAAGATGAATAGTATTCAACTAATTGTTTAAAATTTTTGGTTTGATGGTTTATAATATAAATCGTTTCTATGATATATTTCGTTGTTGTTTTAATGTTAGTTTTTTAAGTTAGCAATAAGTCGCATAATACACCTTCGAATTTTGTCGCTGGGGGGCTAACTTTCATCGTTCGCCTCACGGCCATCAAACACAGGACTGACTCTGCATAGGATGTGGCTTCCGCACCCACTTCTCTTTTGAGGGAGTGTTCTCTGTGCTGGCTCACATGGCCTCGGGAAGGAGATGCTGGGGCTTCCTGAACTAGGTAAGATCCTTGGGGCATTTGAGAGCCCTGATGACCTTAGGCTTGCATGAGAAGTTCATGCATCGCCATATTTTGAGTTGCGATGTCTCTCATGCCAGCAGCTATTTGAGCCATTTCTTCAGTGAGCGTGACTGTTCTTTCACCTCGACGACGCCGGTAATGGGGTCTCTAGTGAGTGACATTGTTACGAAGCACCTCTTCTTCAGAGGCCTCTCTCATAGGGTTCTCGTCTTCATGACTGTAACTCATCTTATCTCCATTTTCAAGGGTGATAAGAACTTGGAGTATAACTCGATTTTGCTCTTTTTCAAGAACGTGCCCTTTTCAGGGTAAGTCACTAGTTTTTTGGTGGTTTCTTCGGTGGAGAATGTAGAACTTTGGATGGGAAGTTTCCCACAGACGGCACCAATCTGTTGACCTTGCAAATTGGACCCTCCACGTGGCCAATCGATAGCTACTCCACATATTCCTCCCTGCGCACAATCAACGCACGGTCAGATGCATACGGCTGGAACCAGCGGGGGTGGTGGTGGCCGCATACACTCCGACGGTCAAGTTAGACTTAGGTGATCGGAACAATACCAATGTTGCGCAAAATAGTGGGGAGGAGAATATGTATTTGCTTGTTTTGGAAAGCTATGTTATAAGAGTTTCATTACCTTTGCCTCTTGTCCAACCTTGGGTATTTATAGGTGATGAGAACCGTTAGATGTGGGACACGTGTATGCATCTGGCGGTGTGAGGCATCTGCTCATAGGCGTCAATCAGCCGTGTCTATAGAGTGGGCGGGTAATTACTTCTCCTGAGTTGAATTGACATAAAGTTGATACGTCACATCAACTAGGCTTATGGAGACGTCAAATCAATTAAACCTTGGGGGCAGAAAGGATCTTGACATAGATCTCTTTCTAAAATTGGCGGCGGATCATCTGACAAAGAACCTCGAAATGTAATGCGCCTCGGCTTCAGGGGCGAGGACGCTTCGATCGGTTCTGTAGATTGTCTGTGCCTCGCAGTGCATTAGCAGATCGACAACATTGGTGGTGACCTCACTTCGGAACCACTTTGGATGGGCGTTGAACATCTCGTATAACGCAGTGGTAGACTTTCCGAAGTGATTCAGATAAGAGCGTAACACAAGACATCATTTCACCCTGAAGTTAGTTTTCATGTTGGATACATAATGAAATTTCACAACATCAGATATTCTCAAACATATAAATAATTGTATCTGATATTAAATCATGTATCTTTTGGCTGCCTTCTTGCTAAATAACAATGTCTGCCATTCTCACAAAGAAATTTAACTAGTTTGGATCCATTCAAAGAGCAATGCAAATGATTGATGAGTTCGTATTTTACAAAGTTGGTTCCTTTGTTCTCTATAAAAAAAAATAAACAAGGTAAGCCTAACTCTCGCTAAACTGTGAGGTAAAGTTTTCACCGCTCCAATTGAAATGGATAATGTTCGAGAATTTATTCAGACTGAATCTCTGTAACATAATTTTTTCACTCTTCGTAGTTAAATTATTTGATTTAAAAGTTTAAGTTGTTATAGAGAGCCACATGTAAATCATGTATATTGTCAAGACTAGTAAATTACCGATGTACTCCTATCCTCTCTTTATGTTCATTTCTTGTGAAATTGTTAATTTCTTTGATGTAATATGTCCGACACTTCACTACAACAAAAAAAGACTTTTTACGACGTGCATTACACGCCGTAAAAAGCCCTTTACGGTGTATGGTTGTACGTCGTATAAAGCAATGCCGTAATTGTGAAGATTTTTTTTACGGCATGCAATGCACATCGTATAAGAACGCCTTAAATAAGTATTTCATTATTTATGGCGTGCATGCACACGCCGTAAAAAGTTCATTCACTTTTTCACGGCTTGCGTATGCATGTCGTAAATAGTGGAAAAATGTGCACGCCGTAAATGTTAATTTTTTTTATAAAAAAAATATTTGTTTATTTGGTTACCAACAAACGCATAATAATTACAAAACAAAAAAGACACAAATTATATATAATCAGATTTTATATATGTCTGATAAACAAAAATAATAAATACGGTTCAATACAATATGCCAAAATGTAGAGTTCGTCTAAATAATTCTATTATTAACCTACTCAAAAAGTTATATCTACCTCTGAACTATGGAACATTTACATGGGAAAATTTTATGTAACTCCAAAGTCATTTGAGTATCCCAACTTGAAATTCCAGCACTGGTTTTTGCTTGCCAAGTCCTATGAGCCAGGTAATGTTCTTATTGTCTTTTCCCCTTCTTATCTTCTGGTTCCTTTGGGGTTGAGAAGAATTCGGCTAAACATGAAGATAAGCTAACTCGAAATTGTAAGTTTGGTTCGGCTAAACATCAATTATCTAACTTGAAATTATAGACAACAATACAAGGCAAAGCGAAAACAATATCAATAAATTGCAAATTTGAAAGAAAGCCTAAAAGATAAAATGAGACTTACAACATCTCCATGAGAAATTCTGATGTGATTGAGAGCAGAAGCAGGTTTAACACACCTTTCTAAAGTCTCTGATCGTCAGCCCAGATCCTTGAATCTGGCATTTGACTCCCTTCCATATTTCTAGTTATTCAAAAAATATAAACATATATTGGAATGATAATGAAGTAACAGTGTCTAGCAAAAAGGAGAAATATTATTCCTTTCTAAACCTTAATAATTTTCTTTTGCATGATTTTGAATCCGAGGTCATCTCTATTTAGATAAATGTTTTTTTTCATATAAGACACCAAAAATTAACAAATGATATAGAAATTATATAAAACTTTTAAGGACTCAAGAAGAGTCTGTCACCGTCCACAGCATTAGCAGAACTGCCATCTCCCCGCATTCTGCGAAACATAGAACAGGCTCCATAAATATACAACTTCTAGAATATAATCTTACCATTTTAACTTTTTCTTCTATGCTATAAATTACTTAACTCCATCTTCAATGTTAGAACAAATGAATAATGTCTAACATCATATGGAATCAAAATAACTTCAGCAGCAACTTATGTTTAGTACATATTTGGGCTAGAATATTAATAGGAAAAAGGGAAAAAAAGAAAAAGCTGAACCCCTGAAACTAAGACAAGTATTCAAACACAACACAGCTTCATAACAACAATAAGATGATAAAAGAAACCAAAAATATATACCGCTTGTTGACTTGAAGAGATAAATCCATATTACTTCCCAGCCTATCTCTAACAGGCCGTTCGTTTCCAACAGTTAGTTGCGAATCAGGAAAAGAACTATCCACCATAATCCCTGACCGATTCACCATCTATAGAAACCAAAATATCAATATATGCACAGAACTACTTATATGTGCAAAAACTTCGATTACCCTTTTCCATACCATCCAAATAACTAATTTTAGTATATATGAAAACAGATCTAAATAAATCCTAGATTGCTTAATCAAGAAGCACCAGTTTTATCATTTTCGCCACATTATTTGATCTTCAATCACCATATAAATACACATATATAAACATTATAATAGCACATAATAGTCCATTCCAATTGAAAACAAATAAATTGTTTCCCAATTGCCAAATTTACACACGAAAACACTAGCATTATCCGTTTTATTTGTTCATCAACAACGCATTTACAACCTAACAGTAATTTCAATATATATAATAGCACATAATAGTCCTTCCAATAAGAAAATAAAGAAATCCTTTTACATTTGCCAGATAAATAAAAGGTAAAAGTATATTAATTACCTGTGTACCGCGCCCTAGGGTTATAGTGACATGAGACCTTGATGGGTTTGACATGGAGATTTCCGAACACCAAAAAAAAAAAAAAAAAACCTTCGAAACCCTATTCAATCGATCAATTGATCAAACAATCAAACAGAATGAACAAGTAGTAAATAATGAAAGAGTTTTGGTGAAATGGGGAAAATTGTTCGGACTACAACTGCTGATCGATTAGGCTGCCATCGACTGAAATCTGTGAAGGAGATCGATAAGGTGGAGAAGAGGAAAAAAAGGAGAAGAAGAAAGTACGGGGTTCTAGGGAAAAAAGGAATGAAAAGAAAAGAGAGGAAGATAGAAAAAAATGTAGGAGGAAAAAAGGAATGAAATAAAGTGGAAAAGGAAAAGAGAAATTTTAACTTTTTAAGGCATGCAAGATTCAGACCGTAATAGTAAATATTTACGGCGTGCAATTGTTATGTGCCGTAAAATCTAACTCTTTACGGCGGGCCTTCAATGCATGCCGTAAATAGTTAAAGTGACAGATTTATTATGGCGTGCATTTAAGGCACGCTGTAAATAGTATGTTTTTACGGCATGCCTTAAATGCATGCCGTAAATGTATGTCGTTAAAAGTAACTTTTGTTGGAGTGCTTGTAGGCATACCATGGTACCGACAAACTTGTAGCATTATGCTTCGTTGATTATTTCTGCAAAAGAATTATTTAGTTTTCGTTGCTTTTTATTGGATCATTAATAGGCTGATGATGGTTACTTATAAAAATTCAACTTTAACAAATAAAATTGAATTTTGAACTGTTTAAATTAATGCTTCAAATTTTTGTTAGATCTAAGGCACGCACTTGCTCGTGTTTTACTTGCTTGGTGTTTCTAAATTGGAAGCAATTGACATGTCTGGACGACTAATGAAAAAAAAATATTTTTATAGCTTATGTTTCTCCTTTTGTATAATCATTAATCATGCCATTGATTATCGCAGTTGGGTACCTATATGTTTCAAGTTGTTGATACATCTAGTAAGTTGAGAACAAGTACTTTCACGAGTTTGTGTTAATCAATACTTCAATAATTGCAAAAAAATCTAACCATTTGGGCAGGAAATTGTATCTCGTCAACTTCATATACAATTTAATTATAGTTATTCTTTTGAGCTAGCATCGAAATTCACGTAATGTGTATATAAATTTAGCTTGTGTTAGGAGGAAGGGCAAAGTTTTCCTTCCCCGTTTGGCATAATGAAAGAATTTTTTTTTTTTTTTTTATAAAATGATTTTTTGGAGAATATTTTAAACGACATTTGGTCAAAGTTCCGTCATATATAACTTATGATAACTTTAGAATCATTTTTTTGTATGAATTGTAACTGTTATGCCCTAAATTCAATCAATTTAGGTTGTAAATATTTTTAATATGTTTAATGCATTTATTGTTGACAAGATCTATTATTTATTTAAATTAATATTCTGATAAATAATATTAAATAATAGAGTCTGAAAATTCAAGTTTAAGTGATTTGTTAATCACAAGGAGTTGTGATTGTGAGATACAAATTACGTATAATTGAATCTTGAATAATTTGTGGTCGTAAGTAATAACGAGATACGAATATCGTTATTACAGATAGATCATCACGTGTGACATTTCCTACTTGTAAAGTAAGTAGCTGATCTCACAAGTTAAACTGTGGTGATACTCAAATGAACACGTATATGTTTTGTTATATAATGAAATATTGGAGACCCACTAAGAGTTCTACATGGATAACTATCTGAGTGTCAATAGTTAATCTCTAACGTTCGGTAGTGGAATCGGTCTTTTGACTTGAGGTTATCATAGTGCCTTATATGAGGACAATCATGTTTTGACGGTGTTGGATATTACTCTACGATGGGCCCCTAATACGGTATCGTTCGGGTATGTCAAGAACCATATAAAAGTTGTGAATGACCAATAGAGGATTCGTCACTCTTAGATAGTAAGAGATTATGATCTGCATTTCGTTCAATTAAGTCAATAACGAAATCTTTGGTCAAGGTGTACACATAAGTCGAAAAGGAGTTTTCGACTCATATTGACTTAATAGTAGAATGAAAGATATGATCGATAATCGAGATTGACACATTTCCAAATCTCGTAATTGATCGGATCATATTGATGAAAAGATTATAGTTTCATGGTAAACGAACAAGCTTGGTTTTGTCATACCACATGACATTTCCCTGATACATTGCTAGATGTCAATCTAGGACGGTGAGTGTGAATTGATGATAAATTAAAAGGGTATTTTAATTTATCAATTTTGATTAGGTCAAAATAATATTTCACATCGTTAGACATCGTGATCGGGAACCTGATGGGTCACACACAAAATAGAATTGGAAGATTGCAATTTGTCAATTAATTAATTTAACAATCGTTGGATAAATTAATTAATTTGGTTGGTTATTTATAGGCTCGAATTAATTCACGGACCGGATTTAATTAAATAGATTAATTAAATATTGGACCGGATCAGGTCAAGCTCGTTTGAGCTTATATAAATACATGTCTAGGATTTTCAATCGATAGTGAATCTCATAATTCTTGCTAGCACTAGAGGAGAAAATCCTGATGGCTGCAATCTGTTTTCTGTGTGGAATTCATTAGAGATTGGACAATTGGACAGCTGTGAGAGGTAGATCCAAATTGCTGGAACAAAGATAACGCAAAGGAGTTTGCAAAACTAAGAAAAGGTATAACTTTTATCACAATTAATATCTAAATGCAAAAATGAATCCTGGTGGGAATTGAAAATATTTTATTTTCGCTGTTCATGTTTAAGTAAATTCCCAACATGAATTTCCATCCCTTCCTACCTTTTCCCACCGGACAATGGAAAGATTGATCACCCTCCAATTTTCAGTTCTCCATCTCATTCTAGCTTCCCTTTCTCAGTAGCAAATTGATATTTCAGGTTTCTGCATGTGTATTGGATTTTTTGCTAAACAATTGATAGACTGGCAAGCGGGAGCAGATTGCCCCATTTGCTGCTCTAGCACCACCCGGAACAGGAAAGACTTCCACGGTTCTGGCATTGGCTCAGAAGCTACAACATGGTTCTGGAGCTGAATGCATCGGATGATCGTGGAATCGAAGTAGTGAGACAGCAAGCACTCAGAGCATCTCTCTTGGTTATGTTGTGAAACACAAGCATTTTGTAGACATGTCTCTATTTGTATGTTTGGGTACAAGACATATGCCAAATATATATATAAGGCACAATTGCATAATATATAATTTTGAATTTGTGTAACGTACATTTAGGCTTATATATAACAATTTGCTCATCTGTTAATCTTTTAATCATTTGTCTGATTCAAATAATAGCTACAAGCTTTGGCAAGAATAGGAATGTCAACGAGTCAAGTCGAGTCGAGCTGAAAGGCTGCCATTTATGCCTCTTTTCTGTTTTTTTTTTAAGCTCGCGGGCCGGCTCGGGCTTGGCCTGCGTCCCCAAAATGGGGCTCGGCATCGGCTCGGGCTTCTCGGGCCCCAGGCCGTCCGAGATGTCGAGCCTTTTTGACACCCCTAAATACCATAGGTAAAGATAATAACAAGATGTTGTTCCCAGTGAATTCGGGATCGGGGGATTGATTAAGTAACGAGAGTTTTAATTATTGTTACACATTCGAAACTTCATCTGATCTATTAATTTGAATACGACATTTATAAATGGGATACTATTACATTAAGAATATCTCCAAGAGATTTTCTATTTTTAAAATGTACATTCTATCATTTGGAGGGCATTCATAAATTTAGAGAATTAAATTTTTAAGTACTCCGACAAGATTTTTATATTTAACACTTAATTTTATTACTCCAAAAAATATTTAGTATTTTTCTCTATCTTTTATTTTAATTAGCTTTTCTTTATATTCTTTTATTAATTTTCTACATTGAAAATTGAAACACTTTGAATGTATTTAGTTATAGAGAGTGAATTTGGCTCTTCAAATTTGGAAAGTCAAGTCCACTCTCTAAATTATAATGTCAATTTAAAGAGTTTCTTGAAACATGATTTTAAAGGTTAACTTTTTAAAATAGAGAACATCTCATGTTTAAAGAGTCTCTTGGAGATTCTCTAACAAGTAAATTAAATACAAGTTTTTTTATTTCTTGTAGATCGATGTGTTTTTTGAATAAGATAATTGGCATAAAACATCTCTACTTTTCAAATTTATTGTGAAAAACGTCTATATCTTTCATTTTTTGACATTTTGTCCTTACCTTTAACTTTTTTTGGCGCTAAACGTCATTTTCACTAATTTTTAACGTAAAATGACCAACATATATGCCTATTTACACAAAAACAAAAAGAAAAGAAAATTGCAACTGTATGCCCAAATTTTTAAAAGAAAATTCTGATCATATATAGTAAACAAATTGAGAGCAATTTGGAGTTTGAATTTGGTAGCAAAGAGCAGGTGGTAGACAGGCCAAGTAAATCTATCAGGAGTGGATTCTTCATCTCCACCTCTTAAGAAACCAGATATTGGCATATCCACGAACGAGAATATTGGGTGTTTACCAACTTCATCGCTTTTGACCAAGCTAGATCTGAGCATATCTATGAATTAAAAAATGGGGAATACCGACAAAAAAAGAAAACATGGGGAATGGTGGACGAGCTGACGAAGAGGAAAGGGAACACAACAAGGAGCTTAAAGAGGGTGCGATTGAAATCCCATCTCGTCGGGCAAGAGGCAGACGCCCAGGTTCCAACTTCCAGGAACAAGCCAAAACCACCAATTTTTGTGACCAGGGATAGCCCTACGAGAATGATGAATAGCAGTAATTAATTCAACAAATTGATTGTGTGGATTAAACGACGTTTGAGGACCATGGACAGGGGCGTCTTGGCGTGTAGATTTGACTGGAATGTTGGGAATGGCATGGGTCGACAGTGGAGTGGTGGTTGTTGGGGTTGAGGTCGGCGGTGGGGGGGGGATGAGGTGTGGAAAGAAGGTGACGATTTTTTTTTAAAAAAAATTTGGACTCATTTGCACTTTTTAAAAATTGGGCCTACATTTGCAGTTTTCTATTCTTTTCTTTTTTTGTTTTGTATAAATATGAGGATATATTGGTCATTTTACGTTAAAAATTGGTGAAAATGACGTTCAGCGTAAAGAAATGTGAAAGGTAAGGGCAAAAATGTCAAAAAATAAAAGGTAGAGACGTTTTTCACAATAAACTTGAAAAAGTAAGGATGTTTTGTACTAATTAGCCCTTTTTGAACGTATTATTTCCTGCCAAACTATATTAATACTATTGCTGCTGTGTTCCTCAAACCTTGATTAATTGCTTGAATTCATTACAGCTGATATGAGTATTAATGATAAGTGGATTCAACCTGGAAAATCTTTGTTCCGACGTTTACCTTACTAGTTGTCTGTTTTGCAGTGCAAAGTCTGCTGTAAAATTGATCCTATTGGATGAGGCAGATGCCATGACTAAGGATGCACAATTTGCTCTTCGTCGAGGCAAGAATCTATTGCTTTTTTTCTGGCCTAATTCAATTCCCTTTTTTTTTTGGTGGGTTAGACAGTGAAGCTAAATATATTTGCTTTGCAGTCATTGAGAAATACACACAAAAAAATACTAGATTTTCTTTGATCTGTAACAATGTTAACAAGATTATTCCGGCTTAAACATGATATTAGTGCTGAAGAGTAAGTTCTTTGCTCACGTTGAACCATATATGTTTATATGGGTTTCAACTTATTTCTCTAACATAATTTCATTTGTAGACTTGTAGTACCTGAAAATGATTTGAAGGCTGTTGTCCGGCTTAGTAATGGTGACATGAGGAAAGCATTGAATATTTTGCAATTTAGTATATCGCTTGCATTTTTATATTTGGATGGTTAACTTTGTAATGATCATTGCGAATTGTCTTTCTAGTCGCGGGGAAGGGGCGAGCAGTTGTGGAAACCAAGGATGTCATATAGCTACTTGTCATTTGTCTGTGATTTTGGTTCCCGTTGGTTTCGGTTGGCTTGTGATAATCTAGGCCTCCTATGAGCTGTGGGGTTTAAATAATCATTATTCCTTGCTACTTGCAGTCAACACATATGGCTTCTCAGCAGATATCTGAAGAAGCTGCGTACTTGTGCACTGGAAATCCTTTGCCTCAAGATATTGAACAGATTTCTTATTGGCTTCTGAACGAGCCCTTTGCCATTAGCTGTAAACGTATCCTGAATGCTGACCATATATTTAATTGTACTCTTTTTTTTGGTCTTCAAATTGTTATGTTATGTGCACTTAAAAATGTTCAGGAATTTCAGAAATCAAGGCAAAGAAAGGATTAGCTTTGGTGGACATTGGAAGAGAAGTAACCATGGAAGAGCTCATATTGATCATCATTCACATCAGAACAGTTTCTTTTCATTCATCTCTTTCCAAATGATATCAGGTTCGTTTTCAAGATCAAGATGCCGCCAGAAGTTCGGGTTCAGTTGATCAATGAGTTGGCTGATATTGAGTACGTACCCTTGTTGGGAAAACACCTTTCAAAGATTGCCCAAGATCAAACAAAGCTTGACAATGTGAAAAATTCCAAACAACTTCAAAAACAAGAAAATGGGGAAGAAATGATTTCAATGGATAAATGAAGAACAATGTATTTGGATTACTTGAACAAGCCTCAAGTTAATCCCCAAGAAAGAAAATAACTTTGAATTTATACCCAAAATGAACAACCTCAATCTTGTAAAATTCTATCCAAGCTTTCTCCCTTTTTTTTCTCTCTAAAAACGGGCTCTAGGTCTTGTGCATTATCAAGAGGCAAAAATCGGAGATATATATATATATATGTACCGGGGCGCCTAGGCGCCAACTTACTGCCTGAGTTTGGTAATCGGGGCGCCCAGTTTTTGCTTCGACAGAAACCAGTTGGGCGCCTAGGCGCTGCCTTGCCTTCACCCTTCTCCTTGCCTTCACCCTTCTCTCTTCTTCTCACAACCCTCTTTCTAGGCTTAAACTTTCATACACATAACGATGGCCTTTGTGGTGTTTCTTACTCCTCATTGATCTCGATCATGTAATACCAAGCATTTGATAACTTGCGGACTAAAATAAAATTCCTAGGACGGGATTGAGATCTATGTTATAATACATTCATGCAATTACATATTTTACTAAATTAATTTAGGTCAAAGATAAACTAGTTCACCATCCTTTGATGAAGCAACAATTTCATTTCTGAAAAATTGAGAGCATCCTACTTGATTGAGTAGAATGAAGACGAATGAACCATCACAGGCGCACCACAGTATCATAATATTTCCTTTGTTGGGACATTATTATTTTCGCTTTTATATTAAACTGCTCAGTACCTTTCGCTATGCAGATACAGGTTGACTTTTGCTTGCAATGGTAAGTTGCAGCTCGGATCATTAACTGGTTCGCTGGTTGCTACAGACAAGTGATCAACATTAAAGTCGAGTGCGAATTATCGTGTTCTGATTTGGCGACTACAGTTTTTGGCGACCCGGAAAGGGTAGCAATGTGAAGTTGCTAAGGTTTCCATTTCTAAATTCTATAATGTAAAAAAGATTAGAATTCACCCATAGGCGGGGCGGATTGGAGAAAAAAGTTAATGAAAATTACTGTTGAATATTTCTATATATTTATTGTTGTATGACTTTGAAAAGACTCGGCTTGCGGATCAGATGGACAGACGCTGCTTCTCCATGCTGTAACACATAGGTTCGATACCCGTCTACATCATTTCACCTATATATTTTTAAACACAGTAATAACGAAATATTAATAAATAATGAGGAAATCTCACAAAATGTTCATTTTTATCTAGTCATTTGCAAAAAATGTCCACCATTGCAAAAATGTCTAATTTGGAAGAATTTAGATCAAAAGACCCTTATTAACAATTTATAATTCCACACTAAGATAAAGAAAAAATGGACATTTTTGCAATATTGTTATTGGTTAATAAAATTTTGACACATAACCTGTCATATTTATTTCAAAAAGTATACTTGTCAAATCACAATAAATGCTATGTTTTTTATTGATTCAGAAATGTCGAGAACGATATTTTTAAATGTAGAGAAATGTCATGCTCAAAATGAAATGTCATTCTAAACAAATGAAATGGTGTTCAAATATCAAGAATGATATATGAAATATCGAGAAATATTATTTTAATGTATGTTCTTATGGAAGTCACTTCTCAAAATTTGTGACAAATTGATAAAAAATCAAATGTCGAGAACGACATTTAAAATGTCAATAATACTATTTCAAAATGTAACTTTTCATTAAGGACATAATAGATAATTTGACACTAAATTCAAATAAGTAGACACTTTTCAACTCATACCCTTAAAATTAGACATTCTTAAAAATGCTCCATAAATAATTACTCGAACCTTCAGCGTATGGGAATGTTGCTTATATGTCAGAGGGGTCATTTTGTATGTGAGAAGTATGGGGTTCAATTCCATGTACTCCCATTTTTGGTATAAATTTTTCATACAATAAATAATACCTAAACAATTATATGTAATTAATTTTAATTTTCTAAATAATTTCTTTAAATAATTTATTGACTCAAATTATCACTTCATAATATATATACTTTTATTGTTAGATTTTATCAATTTATTTTTTATAAAATTCAAATTTGGACAACTTAAGTGTTGCTTTTTATTATTTTAAGAGTTTGAAAACACTTTTTCTTTTGAGATTAAAAATTATTCTAATTCTAAAATTCATTATTTTTAAAATTTTGCATAACATTCGTCGAAACTCAAAGCTTATCTTTACCATTTAATCATAATTTACGTATAAACTCTATCTTATCTCGCTTAAGTTCGAAAAAAATTTTGAAACTTGATCGTGCATGTATTATTGGAAAATGTATATTTTCTAATTGTTTTGAGTTGTATTGAATTATATTTCTAAATGGATACGACTTTTATGTTTTAGTGTATTTATACATTGATTGAATTTTTTTAATATTATTTAATTAAATATTAATAAACAATCTTATTATTGGGATCATGAGTTAACGACCGCCCTAACTAATTCGATATCCTGGATTTGCCACTGCCATAGGGTCAGAGGTTAATGAACTATAGTCATATCAGATTGGTGTTAATCCAATGTCACTTTCTGTGCTATTTATGTGCTGTAAATGAAAGCATTGCAATCCCTTTACATTTTTCTCTGATTCTTTTCCAACTATATCGCTAGCCTCTACACACTTTCCTAGACAAGTTTCTATTAGAAACACAAAACAGAACTCTCTAACGTGGGAAGCCGTCTCCCAGATTTCACTAACCCAGTTGGATTCTTGACATCATTTAATATTTTACAACTCATACATAGCCTTCTTGAGAACTACAAAAATTTAAAGATAAGGAAAACGATATATTGAATCATCAAATACCTTTTTGTAAATAGTTAAGAATTGGGCAACACAACTCCAGAAGACGAGCAATGTTCGATTATGGAAATATTAATTAAGCATTCTAACGAAGTACAGTACGCAAATGGAATTAGTCTTCTAGGTTTGCCTACAAGTATCAATCCATCCTTCCCTTCAAGATCCTCTCTGTAACTTCAGTTGGTGTACTGCAACAAACGAAACAGTTCACGTGAGTAATCGAATCCCATTAATGATACGAAAGGGGATTGACGTAGGAAAAGGTAATAAGATACCACTAGAAATACTTACACGACAAAGACATGCCCTCCCCAGCCACTCAAACAATCACGGTCTACTGATGATAGGAGTGCTTGAGAGATCGTCTCAAACAATTCTTCAGGTTCCTTGATGATTTTAGAAAAGCAAGTTAAGAATTTCACACCATTAGCATCGAAATTTATAAAAGTTTAAAACCACATAAGTTGGACACTGTTAACAGAATAGATTTATTAATTCATCCAGCTTCACTATCATGATTTTTAATAATTGGCAATGCACGAGGATCATGGTAATGCACAGCACTGAGATATGAGAAATCAGACATATATCTCTTCAACACATCTACTAGATCTTACAATAAGCTGCAGAATTAAAAAAATCCAATAATTAATAGTTGCAAATTGTTAAATTCCAAAGGGATGGTATATCTCAACCAATTTACCCTTCTTTCCTCATTGAAGAAGTTTTGGTGGGATCAAGTGATGGAGGAAACAGTCACACATGCAATGGTTTCAATTACCGGAAACTAGTCTTTGGGTGCTCAGTCCATACAATATTTTTATTTTATCAAGCAGACCAAATTTCATTGAAGACAGGGAAAACCATTATAGAATATGCAAAGGCTCACATCTAAGTCAAACATATGAAGCCTCTTTTCTAGGACAATTAACTAAAATTTCATGTGTCAAACTGAAATGCAGAAAAGCATTATCAAGTTATCAAGTAAAGCAACAGACCATGTCAGGCTTGAACATGGATTCACAGGCACCATACAGTGATTCTGAGGCCGTTCCAGCAACAACAAAATCTTTTGCAAGTTCCCTACATTTGGAAAAGAATATATGTAAACCCCCAAATGTTTCTACAGAAGAATGACCATAAAAACCTCACAAGATATATCTGAAATTAATATGAGGCTTAAGTGCTAGTTTTGAACTAGGCTTTATGCATTGGGTTACATAAGCATACCTTTGAAAAGACATAATTTAGCATCACAACTCTAATTGTGTCAAATACATAACTCAAAAAAGATATGAAAATTTTAATTTGCTTGTAAACTCTAAATCACTTCAAGAATAAAACTTTTTCTTGTACATTTTGTTAGTTTCTAAATTTATGAACAAAAATAAGTAAATAACTAAAGAGGAAAAATCCATAAATCGATGAAGTAATTGATTTAAGAGTGCAAAGTAATAAATACCACGCATCTGTGGTGAATTAATTCCAAAAATTGTTGATTGCAAGGATTATTCTATTTTCTTTTCTTTGCATCTTAAAGAAGATTCTTGTGAATAACTTTTATAATGATAGCAAAAATTGAAGAACTTGACATACTTGGCTCCAATAGAGTCCATAGTGCAAATGAAGGGTTTATCTTCATCTCCCAATCCAGCAATAACAGGTTGGCAGAAGTATGGACCAAATCTAAAACATAAAACAAGAAGTTATTTTGAGATCCTCCCCATAATCGTTACATACAATTTGTAAAGCACACATGAAGTGTCAAATGATATTCCTTCCGTAATTAAAGCTATGCACAGGCACACAACAAAAGAAGAGGACAAGGACGATAAATAACACAATATAGCAAAGAAAGTTAACAAAAAAATTTATTATCTTTTCTATTGCATGTTTTCACATAGTACAATATTTGTCACTCACCATTTACTTGTACATTTGACACTGATCCACCACAAGTACAGATTGCAGAAATGTTATAACACAAACTCAAAGATAAAAGGGGTGAAAGGAATTCAAAATATGAAAATTGGCATTTGGCATTTGGCACTCACTTCTGCTACCATCATTTATACATGAATTATAATATTGAACAAACTCTGAAAAATTTACTTCCTTGTAATAAATTTATCATTGTCCATGCACAAGATTCAAAAGGGAAGCAAAGGAACAAACTTATTTCACAACCAATATGAGAATGCCAAAATTTTTACTGACCTTTTCTCATAAAGAAGGGCCGATACAAGGCTAGAAAAAGTTTCAGGCTTCATATCCCTCTCTTCTCTTAGCTCATATAACTTGTGCCGGAAAACAAGACGCTGATACCTTTAGACAAATAGAAATCATATCCTTCATTTCCTAAAAGACGAGAACACGCACATTTCTAGCCATGTAAAAATCTCTGTAGGAATGGAAAGAAGTACATATTTTGCAGTCCCGTAAATTCCACATCCTTACTTGAAACAGGAAAATACATTTTCCTAACAATTAGAAGGGGCCCTTAAAAATGTGCAAGGTACAATCTTTACAGCACAGTGTGCAAGCTACACATGGGAATTTAATTAGCAGAGAATGTAATATCTTTCCTTAATTTGTCATTACAAAGCAGACATGCGCTCATTCTACACATTTTTTACCTTGCTCTATTCAGTACATATTTTTATATCCATATGCAGTTAAATATCATCACAAAAAGGAATATTAAGATCAGATAGAAGCTTTACAGGGTTTGGGCATCAGTGGCGAGGCCAGATAGACCTATAAATAGCTTATCATGAATTTTATAGATCTTCTGGAAATCTGTGGCAATGGTCTGCAATTGCACTCCGAGCCTCCTGTCACTTGCGATTGCGAAGCAATTCTTCCCAACCATTGCCACAAGAGCACTCCCATTGTACTCAAAGATCTGTCATTTTCAGTGGAAAATTTTCCATCAAATCAAAAGAGCTAAAAACTCACCCACTAGGTGTTTTAAAACATCCATGTATAAATAATCATGAACACTAAATATACACAAAACTCACCGACATATAGATATAGCGAGAGATATCAATGAGAAACGAAAGCTTTTCTTCTGCGAGTTTAGACAGGGAAATTTGTGCGCTTTTTGTTTATTTCTTTCTTGGGAGAGGGGAGATTAAACGGAGCGGGTCGTAATTGAATTTGAATCCAGTGACCCATTTCGTGATACTTATTATGGTTGGGCTGCCAGTAGGCCATGACCTTTTTGGTGATACTGATTATTGTTGGGCTGCCAATACCCCCAGGAGAAAATTACCTAAAACAAACATTTAAAGATTCCAATTTCATAAATCAGATCTTAATTATTTTTTTACGATAATCGTATTTTTATTATTTTTTAATGTAAATATAAATGTGCCCACCCCCACATAATACAGTGTGATTATCCCTCTTATCCCCCCCACAATCCACGTTTCCCCATGCTTCCTCCAACCATCGAACCCCAATCCTAATTGCAAAGGTCTATTTTTCTAGGCCCTCTCTCTCCCCCCAAAGCAATCTCTCTCTAAAAATATAAGTTCTCTCTATATACATCTCTTCAAGTGTGTGTGTGTATATATATAGAGCTGCGGGTTCTTCGTCGACGGTTTACGAAATCCTTTTCAACTATTTAATTTGGTTGGCTTAGTATGCTTGATAATCCAAGCTAATTTGGTTGTTTTTGTTGAATTTGTGTCTTTGTGATTGACAAGTAAATTTGATCAATTAATTTGATAATTTGTGACTAAGATCATTGGCGGAGCCAAGATTTTAGTTCAGTGCGGGCAAAAATTTTTTGACGACGAATGTCAAGGTTTTGGTCAGGGATTTAATGACGATAAAAAAATAAAACAATAGTACATCAATACTAAAAACGACATAATTTATATATTACACTTGTTTTTTGCGAGTTTTCATACTTTGATATCGATGTATAATAACTTCATTATTGAACCTAAAAAATATATCTTTCTCCACATAAACAATTGTGCTATCATTCATCCACTGATCACCCAATTACTACTAGGAGTGGGAGTAATTCGAGATGTCAAATGAATCACAAATACTGGAAGCAACTCAAAAAACTAGTGCAATTCACAATTTCACAAAATCAATTCACAATCTCACAATGCAATATATACTATTTCCAAATACTTGGCAACTTGAACTTGCAATCACAGATTCCCAGAGAGCCAGAGCCCAGAGGCAACAATGAACTGGTGGTCCACTGGAAGTTTGTGTCGCTTCGAGCAATTAAAGAACAAAGTGCTAATTTAATATGTTAAAAACAAAAAACAAAAAAAAAATTTATTACAATTTACACAAATTGAAATAACCAAAAAAAAAAATAAGGGAAAAAAATTTGGGACTTCGCCTTTTGCTTTATGGAATCTGGCTTCTTCTTTTGTCGACTCGGCTGGTTGGCGTTGGCACTTGGCGCCTTGGCGGAGCTAAGGATGTAAAGTCGGAGTCAGAGATGTGAGATGTCAAGATGAGAGCCTAGAGCAGGAGATATACAATAATGGACTGTCGGAGAGGGAAAGGGAACGACGGTTGTACGTTGACGACTGTCGAAGACGACGGTTGACGGAGAGGGAAGGGAACGGCAGGTTTTGTCACCGATGGAGAGGGAAGTGGGTGGCGAAGTGTGAAATCATCGCAGACAAAGTCATGAAGGGTAGAAATTTTGAAATGAATGAATGGATTTGGGTCAACAATTGATTCAATTGAATTTTGATATGAATGAGTCTAAAACGGGTCATGACCTTGCACAATTGGGTTTCTCTCTTTATGCTGGATCGAGAATTGAGTTACTTGGTTAAACAAACAAACAAACCTCAAATTTATTTTTTTATTTTTTATTTTTTGCCCAAAAGTCCAGTGCTGGACGTATAGTGGCTCCACCCCTGACTAAGATAAGCAGTGACCAATTAATTTGATAATATGTAACCGTGAAATAAGTTATAACTTATAAAATTTATAATTTATGACCAATAAATAGATTGTAACCTGAAAAATAGTTTGAAATTAATATAAGTGCAGTTGATAACAATAGGTCACAATCAAATAACACATCATGATGAACGTATTATAGGTTACGAACATTCACAGTGAAAACATACTTGATCATAGACAATCACAAATAACAAAAGCTTAATCACAAAGAGTCACAATTAATACATAGAAGGTCACAAGAAGTCACAATTAATAGAAAATTAGTCACAAAAAAGTCATTGTTTATATATTAGATCATAATCACTGTTAACTCAAGCATAATCACATACAATCATAGTCAAGACGACGCTAGTCACATATAGTCAAAGTTAAAACAGATCAAGTCACAGATAGTTATATGTAAGAAAGATCAGGCCACCGACAGTTACATTAAAGAAATATCTAGTCGCATACAATCAAAATTAAGACACTTGATTACAAACAATCACATTGAAGGCATACCTAATCACAAACAATAATAGTTTACATGAATCTAATTACAAAAACAACTTACACATACCTGGTCACAAATATCCAATGTCGTAATATACCTAATCATATACAATCACAGTTAAGACGTACATGATCACATAATTATTAATTACAAAATTTGTTTCCCTATAAATAAAACACCAATTTCATTGTTTATTCTTCCCCTTCACTAAAGCAATTTCGCAAGTCTGAGTTCAACTTTTAAAACATAGAAAATTTAAAAATACATTTTTTGATGTCAGAGTTCAACTTATAACACATAAAAAAGTTAAAAGGTTTGCTTGGACAAATTAGTTTCGGTGACATTCTTAAATAGACAGCCCATGTTTGGTTCCGGTGAAATTGTTAAAGTGTTAAAAAAAAGGAAAATTCGTCAACCAACCAAATAAATAAATCAATGATTTTAAGAATTTACCTTTTTCTACCTTCTTTATTAGTCGGAGAGTGGCGTCGTTCTTCCCACAACCCAAACCAAGAAACTTTGAAAAGAAACAAGTTTTTTATGTATGCCACCAAAAGTGGAAAGGGTTTTTGACTTAATTGGGATGGCGCGCAAACGAAAGTGGAAATGAAAGGGTTTTTAAATGAATTGTTTAAAAGAAACTTTCAAATGGGTTTGGGCCGTTTGGAACCCGCTTAAATGATTTTCTTAATTAGTTTTATTTGTTAAGGATATTAAATCCACGTCATTAGGTCAGCTACTCTGTCAACGGCTGTGTTCTAATAGCTTGATATTTCATTACTTACTTGAATCCTTCATCCCCTCTTTACTTTCAAGTTCAAACCCAAATTGTATCCCCTATATAGTGTGTACACACATCCCCCCTATATATAAGTACTTTTTGAGCCAAACCCTTTCTACTTTTCTAAGAAGGTTGAATTTATAAAGCCTACACACTCACACACAAAACACCTGTATATAAGCTGACCCTGAAATAGGAGAAGGTTGCATTTATAAAACCTGAAGTTAGAGAAAAATCGTCTTTGATATAATATACAGCAATTAGAATTACACGATATAAGTTGCTTTAAAAAGACAATTGTCAATAGGAGATGATATGTAACAAACTACTAAATCTACATTTCCAATTAATTTGCAATCGGCTACACAAATCATTTTTTTCCTCTGTTCATTGCTAAATTTACTGAGCATACACTAGAAAATAAATTCTTTCTTAATAATGGCAACTATTGTCTAATCCAACCAGGGGTGGTCCTATGATTGTCGGGGCCCAAGGCGAAGTTTATAAATTAGGCACCTCTCTCAAAATTAACATAAATGCAAAATTCAACGGTATATTATGAATCTCTGCTTTGTCCTCGTTCAACGCATTCGCATTGCTACTTTTAAAGTACTTGTCAATAATCCCTGCTTGACTTCGAGTTAATGCAATTTCATTTCATTTCTTCTTTTCTCTTTTGAGTACCAGACTCATATTTAGAAGGCATGATATATGAGTCTATATCTAATGTCAAACGATTAACCTAAATATCTCAATCATCTCACAATTAGAGTTTTCAATATAGTTACTACGTATGCCTGTGCTATTGATCATACAGTAACCAAATCNCTATAACATGTTAGGACAAGGCATTACTTACTTGATAAGTAGAATTTTGACAACAAATATGGAATCACACCCTTAAGAATTCCTCCAACTCACAAGTCTAGAATAAAAATTTAAAATTAAACACCAATACAAATATATAATTCTATTGCATTAAAGCCAAGTTCATTTACCCATAAACACGGGTGTGATATGTTCCTCGCACATCTCACTGGTTACCCAGTGTAAGATCATGCCAAATGTCTACCTCGATTTGTTGGATCTCCATATATGAGAACAAATTCGAATTCATGACTAATTGAAGAAAACACAAAAGAAATGAATAATAATATCACTGAAATTTGTGAAAGATAGTGAAGAAGAAGCCGCCTAAAAGGAGGGTCAGTCTCAATTACATGAATATCTACAGGAAACGTTATATATACATCAAAAATACTCTAAAACGGGATGGTTATTCTGATTTGAATATGAAATCATGCGAATATAATGTGACTAAACAATTATGATTTCTCGCTAAGAAATATATGTAATTGAATGTTTCATAAGTAAATTTCTATAAGCTTTAGCATAGAATATTGGTGCAATAAACCAGAAACACGAAAAAACAGTAAAAAATAATTAATTAAAAGGCTAATTCTTCCTCTAATCGCTAAGAAGAATACAAGAAAACCATTCAAAAGAAAGAATTTTTAGGGAGATTAAAATTTGAACCTCAAGTGTGATGGAATCGAGTTGAAACCCAGCCTAAGGAGGAGATGAACTTCAAATGAGGCCGTCGCCTTGCCTGTAGTTTGAATCGAGGAATGGGAGCGAAGCAGTCGCCGGAGAATATATATATACACACACACACGCAGGCTTTGAATCCCCCCTACTGATAATTTCTTGTCTATACGCCGACTTCACATTAAGGAGAATTGGCCTAAAAATCTACACTTGTGCCTGCTGATTCGTGTTACAAGTCATTATTCATGTTCACTTCTTCCCAAAATGACACCTCCATAAATTAATGTACATTTTGTTCGACTTCACATGGGGAGTCCACCTCAAAGGAAATTTTGGACAAAAACCGCATTGGGAACCATCGACGCCATTATACAGGATGTTGAGG